ATATTCAATTTATTCCATAGACCCCCTAAAGAGATTGAGCTTCTAAGCAGGAGCTTAACGTTTGTACCTACGTCACAATCAAACCAATTCAAATGGAGCATTGAACTCTATAGGTTTGGCAGGGATGAGATTAAAAGAATACTTCCATACCCCAGGTGAAGTAGATGTTGGAGTGGATAGAGAAATATGTGATAGATTTCAGGTAAAATCTACCTTTGATCCAAATTCTAATTAAGCCTCAATCAAGACATTTCTCTATGTAACCAATAAGGATTCCCAAACGATGATGAAACGTGATAAGAATGCACACAATATTTCCACACAACAACAAAAGATAATTAAAGAATTGGCAGAAGATGCATCTATTATTATCCGTTCCGCGGACAAAGGTGGTGGTATTGTAGTAATGGACTACAAGTACTACGCCAATGAATTGAAAGAACTATCTGATCGAAGAACCTACCTGCCATTAGAAGGGGATCCTAAGAGGGTCATTCAAAACAAGATTGATGAAGTATTGTCCATGGGCTTGAGAGCTAGCTACATAGACCTAAAATTATATCAGTATCTCACTAAACAACATCCCTGCACTCATATCATCTACTCAATATCAAAAACGGACACTATTTTCACACGAACACCGTTGAACCTGCCGACCTCCCTTCATCTGTTCTTCCGTTCATACGAACGCTGTACCATCCGGTACTTTTCCATATGAACAGAGTCACCCCAGATAGCTATCCCATGGAGCCCATTCGTATAACAAAAGACTATGTGAAAGACTTTGGCTCCATGGGAATTGAACTGTATGTATGTGATCTGAGCGCCATTCGGTAATATTAAGCGCTCACATCCAGGCTACCTGGGGATTCATTGAATGTGGGGATTCTGTTCGGGAGTTTTATAATTGTGTATTTTTATGTATTTTTTTTATCCTGTATAGGAGGGTCCTGTACGGTGTAAATGGGAGTGTTTATCCCTGTACTACTGTGATTGGTCACCGTAATATTTTGTCACAGTTTTCCACCAGTTCCCCTATGGGAGTGTCCACCTGGTGGTAGACCTGCATAAAAGGTGGGCAGGTAGCCCAGATTAAACAGATTCCTGCTTGAGCCTCTTATAGTACTTGGGGGCGTGAGGGGATTTATTTGTGCATTTTCCTGTTCAGCTGTTTGGAGTGTTCGGTAGCTGATCCAGCGTTCGGGAAGGGAATATCTTTGGCGGCTTTAACCCTTTTGTACCTGGGGTGCCGTAACAACTGGTGGCAAGCGACGGGATGATTTCCACAGCCCAGAAGGACAGCTACAAGGTGACACAAGCCAATGGAAGCATATTATAAGCAACTAAAGCGCTCTACCCACTATCAACCAGTAAAAGTGAATAGACGATTAACCAAAGGACTCCGAGACTCCCAGTCAAGTTCCCCTCCACCAACCTGCCTACAGGATACCTGAGCCTGTCAGAGGGCATATTCGTCAAGAGCTCGACAAGATGCGAGTTCTCTGCTTTATAGAACCTTCTTATAGCCCTTTGGCCTCTCCCAAAAGTGCCCAAAAAGGATGGAACCACCCAGTTCTGTGTCGATTATAGGCGGCTCAACAAGAAAACCACTAACGATGCCTACCCCATGCCCTGAGTGGATGAACTCCTCGACCGCCTATCTAGCGCTGCTTGGGTCTCTACCCTCAACCTGAGCAGGGGGTACTGGCAAATTCCCCTAACTGCTGAAGCCATTCCCAAATCGGCCTTCATCACCCCGTTTAGCTTGTACCAATTTAAGGTCATGCCAATCGGGATGAACAATGCCCCTGCTACCTTCCAGAGGTTGGTAGACCAACTAATCGAAGGACTGCAGGATTTTGCATGTATTAAAACATGTAGTCTGGATATTCCCAGAAATTTTGGAATGAGGTCCTATAAGGAAAACTGGGAGAACACTTACGAGTGCAATATTGCTTGAGTATATAAATGGAGTAAGATAGAAGTAGGTATTGTACACTCACAAGTGTAGAGCCACTAGGTGTTGGCTTAAACTATAAGTGTTGTGGGATTTTTCAGGGTCCCACTCCCTAGTCTGTGTGTGATGGGGTAAGATCTCTGTTCGGTAACAATCACTGCTCCAGTAATCTTTCCAAGTGCTTTATTTCGCCAATCAATATTAGAAGTATATAAGACAAATATAAAATAAGTAAAAAAATCCTTACAATATGTAGGCAAGTCCTTGTAAAGTGCAAGATGCATTTCACCCCTCCTGGGAGCTTCCTCAGTTGCTTCCTCAAAAAACAAAACAAAACAAAAATAAATTCCACAACACTTATAGTTTGAGCCAACACCTAATGGCTCTACACTTGTGGGTATACTTCTATCTTACTCCATTTATATACTCAGGTAATATTGCACTAGTATTTGTTCTCCCGGTTTTCCTTATAGGACCTCATTCAAAATTCCTGGGAATATCCAGACTATGTAAGATACTCCACCTTGCTTGTTTTAGTATTGTGTATTTGTTGATGAGGGCTAAGGGGGTGTTAGAGTATTTGATACTGTGTGTTGAACCCACCGGATCTTTGTTTTGTGACAGGATGTGCCTACCTTGACGATATAGTTATCTCCAGCGCATCATTGGGGGAAGCACTTGCAACACCTTAGGACGGCTCTGAGTTGAATTCAACAGGCAGGGATGACTATACGTCCTGACAAATGCAAAATAGGATTGGGTGAGGTCCAATAGTTGGGACACCGAGTAGGGAGTGGAAAACAGCGCGTCGAGCCAGCCAAAATAGAGGCCATTCTCAACTGGTCCGTGCCCCAAACCAAGAATCAAGTGTTAGCCTTCTTGGGCATGGCCGGGTACTACCGCAAGTCTGTTCCCTATTACAGCGAGACTGCCAAGCCCCTGATGGATCTGACCAAGAAATCCCTACCCTGGATGGGCCTGTGGTCCCCCAAGTGCCAGCTCGCTTTCTCCACTCTGAAAGCTGCCCTGGGAAAGTCTCCTGTGCTAGCCTCTCCAAACTTTAACAAGCGTTTTCTAGTCCCTGCTGCCATGTATGGACTCGGAGCAGTATTGAGCCAGGTGAATGAGGATGGAGTAGAGCGCCCCATAGCCTACCAAAGCCGAAAGTTGATAGACCGAGAAGTAGGGTTTGCAGCTATTGAAAAGGAGTTCCTGGTTTTGGGTGTGGGCTCTTAAAATGTTCCAACCCTACTTCTACAGAAGGGAATTCACTTTCCTCACCGACCACAACCCCCTAGTTTGGCTGAATCGAGTAGCAGGGGATAACGGACGTCTACTACGCTGGAGTTTAGTTTACGCTTCAACCTTTTAATTTCCCCATTCAATACAGGCCTGGCAAAGACAACCGCAATGCTGATGGATTGTCCCGGCAAGGAGATGTATAAACCCACTGCTACAGTCATCCACGGAGTTACCCGCTAGAGCAACTCCTGGCCACCCTCTCCAAAAAGGAGGGGGGAAGATATGTCACAGGAGATGGGACTTCCCTCAATTATACTTTGTATCGTCTAATGTTTCCCTGCATTTAAATGGAATTGTTCCCTTCTGTTCGGTTATCGAACAGATTCTGTGGGGTCCCCTTGTTCACAAATCATGTTTAGGCTTTATTGGGAGATTGTGCTTGTCCCATTCTAAATATGATAAAAATGAGGCTGGAGTATTAATCTGTGGATAGGTATTTGTAACGGATCACCTGTACTCTGACCGAGTACCTTCCATTGACGGACGCTTCAAAGTTTGCGCCGAGGACCATAAGCACAACAACCACCGCAGACTCCCCAACCGCCATAGCTTAACTAGAGTCTTGCCATCTTCCATCCACCCTGTATCAGCCTCTGTTCTCCAGGACTGTGTGGGAAAGATCTCTCCTCCACGAGAGCGTATCAGGAACAGCTCTTAAAAGAGCTAAGTGATTAAAGCTCAGGGGAATATACAAAGTATAGCAATCCCCAGTGTGATTATAGCAGTTCTCCTCCAATCATGAGACAAGACTACGTGTTGAGGGTCAAACAGGAACAGAATGCACTGAGGCTTTATTGCTTCTTTTATACACTTTTTCCCACAAGGTTACCACCCAAGTCGACCTTGTTGGGCACTGAACACAAACTCAACAACCAATAGTTGTTGTTTTTTTCAATTTGACAATTTTTATTTTTGCTTCGATTGGGGGTACAGAAGGTAAAAGGGGAGGGGGGGTGGTCAGCATTGCATCTCAAATTACATATTTCTGTTGTTGCATATTACAAGTTACCATCTTTTTGCGTGTTGCCTGCCAAACAAGCATTTCTTTATATTAACAACTAGTACCGTTGTAACCTGCTATGTCGACCTTGGCATCGTAGGATATAGAAGGAAAAAGTGGGGTTGGGGGACATTTGTAATTCACGTGTGCCTCAATGACCCGTGGGTACCACTACAAATGTACATCCAGTTGTATATTTTCACTGAGTCTGGTTCTTAGTATTGAGTCATTGTGGCTGTATACCTAAGTACCCTTTGTGTATGCGTTAGGGGGGTAAGGGGCAACATACAAGTAACCGTAACTTATTTGATAACCTGAGGTCTGCTCTGTGTGGTTCGTTCTGTTTAGTACACGTACAAGTTTTATACTCTGCGTAACCTTAACCACTTTACTTTGAATTGAAGAGTGGGGGTTGATGTTAGTGTTGTGGGGTTCCAACTCTTTCCACGTTCTGCCACCGTGGTGTCTGTGTTTCTGATAGCCTTGTTCGGCCCTGAGGCCTCCTGTTACCCAGTAAGTCCCTGTGTCTGTGGGGGAGCGTCTGCTTGTCTCACTTGGTTGTGTGTCCCTCTATGTATTTTTCCCACTTCGTTTTTGCTTCCCTAACTGTATGGTTTGAGGTGTTTATTGGCTATAGTTTCGTATTCCCAGTTGGTGGAGATTTGGTTTAATAAGGCTTCTTTAGTTGGCGGATGGGGTTGTTTCCAACTTCTAGCTATCAATGTGGCCGCTGCAATGAGCGCTTGGAATATTAATTGCCTCTCTGTTTCATGCCATCGATCTAGGTGCATGAAGAGGAGGCCTTGTTCTAGTGTCAAGTGGTATTGTTTGCCCAGTGCATTAGCTATTATTTCCTCCACCATTCCCCAAAATGGGGTCATGACCGGACAGGCCCACCATATATGGTACATTGTCCCCCATTCCCCACAAGCTCTCCAGCATTCATTCTGGGTTCCCGGGTATATTTTGGCTAGTTTGTGCGGGACCATGTACCATCTGTACATTTTTTTCCTCATTATCTCTAGTTGTGAGGCGCATGCAGTGAGGCCTCTGTGCGCTCTGAATGCCAGTTTCCAATCTCGTTCCTCTATCACGTGTCCTATGTCTGTCTGCCATTTGTCTCTAAAGTCTGTCTGAGTATCTGTGTGTGAGTTCGTCATTAGGGCGTACAGTCTGGATATGATTTTCTTCGGTATTGTGTTGGACAGGCAGAACTGTTCTAGGGAATGGATGTGGTTCGGGGTTTGCATTCACTGGACACTAGGGATTTTACCTATAGGTATGGGAAGATTTGTCTGGCTGATAGGGAGAATTTGGATTGTAATACCGGGAACGGTAGTATTTTCCCTCCCTCACACAGCTGCCCCAGGCGTGTGCATCGTCCTGCTATCCATGGGGTAGGATCTAAGGTTTGGATGCTTGCCAGTAGGCTCACCATTGGCATATTTCCAGTGTTCGGTCCGCTCCTGCCCATCAATGCCCTGACTAGTTCCCATGTCTTTAACATCACTGCTGTCGGTGGCAACCTGTCTGTATTTCGGGCGTAGTGTGTGTGGAATCCAGTATAAGCGGCATAGTCCTAGTTTGCAAACCCATTGTGATTCTATATATACCCATTGGGAGGTTCTTTCACCAAGTTGGATGTCGCTATGACCGCTAGGAGTGTGGCACTATAGTATGTTTTTACATTGGGCACTCCCAATCCCCCCCTCTTTCACAGGTTTTTGTAATAGTTTGGTGGCCACCCTTTTCCTGCGATTTGCCCATACAAATCCGACTAGGAGCTTCTGTATCACTGCTAAGTATTGTCCCGGCACCCGAATGGGGATTGTGCGTAAGAGGGACTGGAGTTTGGGGAGTAGGGTCATTTTGAAAGCTGCTAGTCTGCCTAGCCATGAGAGGTATTTGCCCTCCCATGATTGTATTGTGTCAGTAATTGTCTTTGTAAGTTTGACAAAGTTGAGTTTGAATAAATGCGGTAGGTGTGGGGGTATAAGGACACCCAGGAAGTTGATGCTATCTCTCCGCCAGTCAAACAAAAAAGTGTCACTGAGGTGTTTTAGGTGGTCCCGCCTGATCCCTATGCCCATGGCCTGCGATTTGGTGATGTTTAGTTTGTAATTGTCACATCATGCCTTGTTCTGCGGATCAGTCTGGTGATGGCTTCTGGTATCCAGTACTCTTTTTACAATTCTTGTTTAGTTTTTCTTGGTTTTTTGGTTTTCTATTCTATGTCTGGTTTTCTTTATGCTGGGTTTTTCTGGGTTCATTACTGTAATCTGTCAATTCACAGTGTCCAGGTTTCCTTTAAATGTTTGTTTTATGTTGCCACACCCGTTTGTTTTCCATTTTTCTTTTTGTTTCAGTCTGGACCTGCAGCAGTGTTTCAAGTCTCTGCCCTTTCTTGCAGGTGAAGGAATTGAAACAGTTAATCTGTTAGTATTGTATAAGGTGAATTATTTTGTAAATGTAGTAGCAAGCTCTTTTGCAGAACCGCTTACAATACATAACTGAAAGGAAGTCACAAGCTATAACAGTTTCTATGTAACAGGATGCCTTAATCACAATGTATATGTGATATTTTGTAAGAATAGATTATTGAACGTAACAGCAGAAACTACTTCCACTTTTATGTATCTTGTGAAACTTTCTTTTTTGTTTGGTTTTTTTTGTTGTTATTTTAACATCAAATACAAAACAGTACATACAGTACCTCATAGAACATTACAAATATTCACATAAATATGTTCCGTTAAGGACAGATATCTATAAAAAACATTTTATGGACACAATAGTTTATATAACTTTTAAATACCTGCACCTAGAAATCCATAGCTGAAATAAACCACTATAGGGTTACATTATCTATACATTCCATAAATAACAAAATTGAGGTATCACCACACTACATTCACACTAAAATACACATACTCTCCCGAGAAACCAGCATTGTATTAACCATTTGTGCCTATTACTTTCCATATAAGTGCTTATATCACTAGTTTCTCTGGAGTCAGACACACACTGCGGGGGCAACTCAGACCTTCTATATTATAAGCCTTCATTACAAGCCATAAACTTGTGCACTATATTTTTCCACCTACTGGTTTTACTCAGACCCACGGAGTTTCCTTGAATTATTTCAGTTTCCATTTTCCATTGGTATATTATTTGTTTTTTTTATTTCAGCCCACTCTAACACTTTATTGCTTTTCCAGTACCTAGCTAGGACTGTTTTAGCTGCCATTAAAATATGAATTATTAACATACTTTTTTCAATAGGCATAGGAGGCCATCCCTGATGTAACAAAAAACTCTGTGATGTAAAAGGTGTATATATATCTGACAGGTATTATAAATTTGTTGATAGATATTCTTCCATGTATTATTTTAAAATTTACATTGCATATATGGAGATAATCTCCTTTCCCGTCATTACATCTCCAACAGGCTTGATTCTGATCTTTATAAATTTTTGCCCGTTTTTCTGGGACCAAATACCACCTATTTATGAGTTTATAAAAATTCTCTACTGTATTCAAACAATGTACCGATTTATTTACCTTAACTAACGTAGTTATCATGTCTTGCTCAGTAATTTCAATATGTAGATCTTTTTCCCACTTATTCTTAGATTTCCAGACATAAGGCTTCTTAGAATCCTTTAAAAACTCATAACATCTAGTAATATGGCCTTTATTTCCCTGAGTTTCCAGAATCTTTTTAAGATTACTTGAGATTTTATTAAGCTGGAAATCCAAGAATTTCGCCCCAAAAAACTTAATTCTTATATATGTGAATATCTCGTTGTTATCAATCCCAAACTCTGATTGTAGCTGATTGAATGGCTTAATTTCCTTTCTATCAATAATCTCTTGGATATTCTTAATTCCCTTCTGTGACCATCCGCTGATATTCATATCTTCAATATTCCCCTTAATCACCTCTATGGGTAAAAATGGAAACAATCTATATTCTATTTTATCTTTTGTAACTTTCTGTAACCAATGTTCATGACAGATATTGTATAAGTACAGAGCATTTTGAATACATTGTCAGAAGACTTTTGGAAAGCAATCTTGTGTCTGTCTCGTTATTCTGCTTCCATAATTCTTCCCTGAGCTCAGGTGACAATCGAGGGTTGGAGAACCGTGACCAGAAGGGATCGAGTCATCAGTTTAGCCTTTCAGCTTGGTGTCAGAAGTGGGATCTAGGGATCTAGCTGACCATTGGCAATAAGTAGTAATTCTCTGTGTCTTTTTAGACGCCTTGAATCTATGACCCCCATGGTTTTGTAAGTCTAGATCATTTTAGGAAAGGTTATAGTTTTATATGTGTATTTTATATGACTCAGTCTTTATAAGATCCTGTGAATTTAGTCTAGTAAGAGAACTAGACAGATATATATGTATTTCTAGTAAGTAAACTAGATAAGGTCTAATAAGAGAATTAGACAGATAAAAGGAAGTCTATAAAGTGATATAGACAGAGAATTTAGTATATAAGTGAATATACTACAATAGTGTGCACAGAGTTTCAGGTTCACTTTGTCCACCCTCTAATTGTCATTAGTTAAGTCTGGTGGTGGTTGTGAGTGTGAATAAGTGTTTGAAAGATTTGTCCTAGGAATGGGAAATAACCATGTAAGAATATGAAGTAGTTAACTTTTCTTGTTCATATGTATTTTATGCTTAGATAAGGTTTATAATCATTAGTGCTGACTGTAAGGATATGAAATGGTTAACTCTTTTTGCTTTATATGCTAGCCCTGAAAATATACTCACTGAGAATCTTGTTAAAGCACATTTGTAGTGTCCATGTCTTTATTGCTAACAATGATTCTCCATCAATTGGGTGATTGTCTATATTGGGGACACACTTTGGTAAGTTAGTAGTGTGTCCACCCTGAGTCAGCAGTATGGGAAATGTGAGTTCATGTCCTGAGTGACATATATATATATATATATATATATATATATATATATATATAAGATAGCAGTACTGTATATTAGAAAAGAACTGACTCGCAGGTTGTACCTGATAGACCTACTTAAATCTTTTGCTTTATTCTTTCTGTCGCATAGAAGTATAGTTTATTACTCTGTTTTATTGTAAGATATTTCACATGGGATCTGTGTGCCTGGTATGAGTGTTACTTTAATACCATAAGCCCACTACACTTTCTATGAGAGTGGGATAGTGTAAATGTGTTACATTGTTTGCATGATGAGCTCAGTATTTTTATAACTGAGACAAAAAGTCACTTCATTGGTATTTGAAAGTTAATTCCCCGTATGGGATTAATTGTATAGAACACCAATCAGTACATCTTCCCTGCCCTGTGTGTTTGTTGCAAAGGATCCATACTGTAAATATGATTTTTGTTTGTAAATAAGAGAACAACATTTACATTTTCAGCGGCCCAACACATGCTTCATTTTGTGCTGTAAGCTAATCTTTTTATTGCTACAGATGCTTTAAATGATTCAGCTACTGCATATGTTTTGTGTCTTCTATGTCTCACATTAAAGAGTTATTTTAAATTGTGGTATATAGCCTGGATCAGAGATCATGGACAAAGGTTTTTACCTGTGTTACTAAGGCTCTTGGAGACTGACTGGTCTAAGGTTTGCCATGCCTTTTTGTTAAGACACCTCCAGTGTCTTTAGGCAAAACCGCCATTTAGTAGACCTTCCCCTTCTGCAGTAACAGTAACTCAGTTCGCCTAACCTGTAGTGCACGAACCAAATGCAGGGGAAGCAGCAATCTCCCGACCGGGATCCGTGAACGGCTCCAAACTCCCGAACGGCAACACACGAACTGCTGCTAGCCGCCGAACAACAATATCCACCAAGCGGCTTTCGGTTCCATCCAGCAGTCTCTAAACGTGAAGAAGAAATCCCCCCAATAACGAGACAGAAGCTCTGCATTGAGGGTCAAACAGGATCTGGCTTTACTGTGGGCTACCTGCCCGTATTTATGCAGGTCTCCCACTTGGTGGACACTCCCCTAGGGGACCAAATGGGAGACTTAAATGACAGACAGATATGGGGACATTCCAGACACACAGTCACAGATTTTACCCACAGTGCATTATGATTCCCTCCCCTCTGCCCTGGAGATAATTACAGAGTAACTCAATTATCTCCAGGACGAAGCCAGTCACCATTTTAAATATAACATCATAAAAGACATAAAAATACATAACTTTAAAATAACCGAACATTTCCCATTCGTATCACATATCCCCAGATAGCCTGGATCTGAGTGCATATTATTAGCGAATAGTGCTCAGATCCCACACACATAGTTCAATCGCCATGGAGTCAAAGTTCTTACAGTCTTTCGGTATACGAATGACTCCATGGGAAGGCTATCTGGGTTAAGGCTTTTCGTATACTCCAAACCTCCCGAACGGCCGGTATTCGTATGCTTTCATGGAGACAGCCAGGCGTTCCGTTGTTTCAGCGGTGTTTTTTTCAGAAAAAGTGTCAGTTTTTAGTTCCATAGAAATAGAGCCAAACACCGCTGGGCTTTCGCGTGGTTTAAAATGGCCGCTGCCTCGTGGTCGACATACGAACGACGACCACCCTGAATTCGGTTTAATTGAGAAGTGTCTGCAGTTAACCACAACGTTCTAATTGGGATCAATAGGTTAACCAGCAGCGCACGTCTCTCCTGGGTGGCCGTCCGTTCGGCAGGTTTGTTCGGGAAAAAAGTCATTCGAATGGCTGGGCTATAGAAAACAGCCATTCATACGAACGGGATACAAACAGACGAATGCAACTAAAATACAAGCAGGCAGATGGTTCTGTCACACTTTTAACATGGCATAGTATACATTTTTTTAAGTCTCTGAGAGTTCTGAAAGATTCAGGTGAAACCATGTCTGTGTAATCTGGTCCAGATGTTTGCTCAATTTCTATAAGATTTAAGTTGATGCAGTATCATCTCAGATTAGTTAATGGAAGTTTCATACAAATATTTGAGTTATGAGCGCGCTATATAAATGGATCCTTTCTTTATATACAATACTATAGAATTAAGAAAAAAAACACGTATACATAAGAATCCCTAAAATAAATCTAATGCAAACTAAAATTGGTATACCTTACAATAATATGTTCTGAATGCAGCTCTTAACTGTTTATTCTGTGTAAATGGTGACTGTGATAATGTGTGAAGTGTGCAGCTTAACTGGAAATTGGTTTCATTTACATGTTGCTGTGTTGTTTTAAAAATTATATTTGAATCAGTTTGTCTCAGTCTAGTGATAGTGATAAGAATGCCAGCCAAATAACCTAGCAAATAACAGTTTTATTAGCTGTTGAATACTAGCATTTTGGCCAAGAGTAGTTGGAGTAGTTCTATGAGCACAGAGAGGCTCTGTGTTGTGGTCTGATATAGCTATATGGGAATGGAGATTTGGAGGTGTTAGTTTAAGACTGCTTTCATATTGTGTCTACCCGTGTTTCCTAGGAGGGACATAGAGTGTGTAGTTGCATGCCCATGAATGTGTTTTCTGTATTGGCATATCTGCTGTGTATCCATTATGTGTTTCTACTACGTCTGTTTTGTGAGATGTCTGTTTTGTGAGACGTGTAATATTACATTGAATGCTGAGAATGAGTTATATGGTTTGAAATTAATTGGTGTGTTATGTGTTTTATGTATTTTATTGTCCATTGTGTAGAAGTTTAACTAGCAGAGTGATTTGCATATCATTAACGCAAGCATTTAGTGTTTTTACAAAAGGTGAAATGCTGTCCAGCCGGCTAGAATGAAATAATTGTATGCTATCGCTCCTGGAGCAAGAAAAGTGCTTGTTACATCCCACGTGAAAGGAGCCCCGCAAACTTCTGCTGTTCAAATCGTGGATCCATGTTTCCATTTGCAAATTGATAAATCCTGAAAGTCATTCTTTTACTGATAAAAAGGATTGAATGGACAAGATGTCTCTCCCTCATAAAGGAGTTCTAATAGGGGAGTATTGTCCAGCTCAGAGTAAATTCTACTTTTAAAGTATATTGCATTTTTTGTGTCAAAGTAAGACGCATCTAGTATGCCTCATTAATTATGGGGCAATAATAAAATGGTATTTTTAATAGAGATTAGACAATTTCTGAAATTTATAAGTGAGGTAATTTTAATCTCCTAAACTACTGTATTATATTTGTATGGGTAAATTGAAAACATTTTGCAGATCCAGAAGAGGATTAATAAATAATATAATAATCTCACTAGGTGCCAAATTATGCAAAGAGGCTATCCAAAGTATGCACTAACAGGTTAAACTTGTTTTCTTGTTAAGCGTATAAAAAACTTTTTGATACTCAATTTGAAATATGTCCCAACTACATCCTTGCACGGCACCAGGTACAGGAAGCAATATGCGTTTAAAAAAAAATTTGCAAGGTCTTAGTGTTTTCAATATATTATAACAATGGAAAAGTACCTAACCGCATGTCTGCATTACGCTCATGACACAGACTGTCAGTATTGCAATCCCTATATGAAGGCTATGCTTTCATTGTCGATGTATATACCCCTAGACAACCTTGCTTTCTATAAAACCTTTAAAAGCTTATTAATATTATATCTATGTGGTACACAAAGAGGGGTACAGAAAGAGGTAATCCCGACCCGCATATGGAATATGCTTCCTCCTTGTTCACTTTTGTTCCTTGTTGGTCTGTGACTGGCCCTTTTTGACCCCCAAATGAATTTCTTGGGAAATTAAAGGCAGAGGTAGAGGATTTGGTCAAAGGGTCTAACTTTTTTGTAGAGGTAGCAACTTCAGCATTGGTGGAACACACTGTTCTAATTGTGGATAGCAGGGTCACTGGAAAAATGAGTGCCCAAACCCACCCCCACAGATTCCTCAATATCAACCACAGCTTCCAATCTATACCCACACCCCAAAAAAACCCAGCCTAAGACACAGATGGTTCATGTTTTTAATATTTTATATAGTTTTAGGTGTTAATCCAAGAGTATTGAATTATTCTGGATTATTAACGTAATTAATTTTGAGTATCAAATCAAGGTTCAAATTTAGGAACAGAGTTTTATTGGGAATTATCCCCATATGTATGTTAGTGTTTTAATATTCATCCTAACAAGCATTTCTATAGAGTGAGTGCTTCTCTCATCCGTACAAAGGCATTCCAAAGGGGTATTATGTAAAACTTCATAGAAGACAGATTGCATAAAATATAAGCAAATATAAGAGAAGTACATGTTACATAAATTAAGGGTTTAACCTTAATCTCTAATTTAAGTTTTAGCCTAGGTAATTAATTAATTGATGTTGTATTGATCCTTGTGTTTGTATGATTGCAGAGACCGTCCTGGAGTGTTTGTGCCGCCTGATTTTTGGGACTACACACCAATCTCTCTGGCTGACCATGCAATAAGTATTTTGCAATTACATCTGTTTGGTCATTATCCAGGCATATGACTGGTTTTGACTGGACCTTTGGAATAGGGAAATGGTTAAAAGATATAGGATGCAAGGTCCTGGTTGTGATTATTGTCAGAATTTCAAGCTAGACTATAATTTATCTCATGAATTAATATTTAAGAAGTGTTTCCCAATTCCTCCCAATACCCGAGCTATGTACTCACAGGTGCAGGTATTATAAGTCATAAGTGGTGTCAACTGTGAGGGGATGACATGTCTAACACGATCGCGGCCCCCACTCAGGTTTTCCCCAGATGTGCTTTTTCCTCAAATATGAGTTTTTGCCTGGCCCCAGATCATCGGGTGGACTGGTAATCCTAGACCCGGGTCCTTGGATGGGGGATAGGTATTATTCCCACTTTGAGTGTATACGCCAACTTCCGTGGACGAAGGAGGAAGAAAACTTTTGGAAATAATATTTACCTAGGGCTTATGATACAGATTGTATCTGGTAGCTGGTTAGTCTGTTTAAAATTGGTTAACATGTCAGCTATTTGCAATAATTATGTACTGCATACATCTTAGCATTCATATGCTCTGGCTTCCACTAAGCTGCAACAGGGTCTTGGTTTGTGGCCGCACAAATGCTAGTGCTCAACATCGGAGGGCGTGCGGTTACTCTGCACCAGGCCCTGTTAGTCCATTACCACGCTGAGACTCCCCACTCCACTTCAGGCATACTGGGACCTGGTCCTCGCACCGCCTCCCGGACAGTGTCTGGGTCCCGGGCACCAGACCGCCACCGGTGACAGTAATATGAGTTAAGGCCGTATTCGTTGATATTGTCCATTAAGTTTTGCAGTGAGATTTGGGGTTGAGTCAAAGTTAGCAAAATATCATCTGCAAATAGATTTATTTTGAATTCCCTACCTCCTACGGTTTCCTCATGTATGGCCTTGTTTGCTCTGATTATCTCCGCTAGCGGTTCCAACGCTAGCGGTTCCAGCGCTAGCACGTATAGCAAGGGGGAGAGCGGGCACCCCTTCCTCGTTCCGTTTGTTATGGGGAAGGATTCTGATGTGCGGATGGTTTGTTATATAAGGCCCCGACCGCCGAGCGGAAGGCCTCCGGCATCCCAAATTTGCGGAGAACCGCCTCTAGAAACCTCCAACCCAGCCTGTCGAAGGCCCTTTCTGCATCAAGCGAGTGTGTCACGCATTCTACGTGTTGTCTTTGGACACTGAGGATGATGTCTATGACCTTTCTTGTATTGTCCCCTCCCTGGCATCCCTTCACACACCCCACCTGGTCGTTTTTGATTATGAGTGGGAGTATGTCTCCCAGTCTGAGGGTGAATATTTTTGCAAAGAGTTTCGTGTCTGTATTTAGTAACGAAATTGGACGAAAATTTTGTGGATGGGCGGCGGGTTTGGGTAGTGCGCTCTCAGTGCCTCCAGGAGCAATTCTCGCCTGTGTACAGCTTCGTTGAACACGTTTGTGGTGTGTGGGGCCAGGGCTTGTTGGAATTGTTTATAATAGCAGTTGGCAAACCGTCCGGGCCCGGGGCTTTCTCTGCCTTCAACACCTCCGTCTCGGTGATAGGGGCCGATAGGCTGGTCTGTTGGGTGGGGGTGAGTTTGGGTACATTGATTTTATCTAGGAACCTGGTTATGTTGGGTTTTTGAGGCTGGGGTGTGTTTTTGTCATTTCGGAGGTTGTATAGCGATTCATAGTATTTAGCGAATACGTTGCTTATGTCCAAAGGGAGATATCATAGTTACATAGCTGAAAAGAGACTTGCATCCATCAAGTTCAGCCTTCCTCACAAATGTTGTTGCTGTTGATCCAAAAGAAGGCAAAAAACCTGGTCTGAAGCACTTCCAATTTTGCCACAAACTAGGAAAAAATTCATTCTTGACCCCAAAATAGCAGTCAGATGTCTCCTTGGATCAAGCAGCTATTACCCCACTAATTAGAAATTATATCCCTGTATGTTATGTTTTTGTAAGTATTTATCCAATTTCAGTTTAAACATCTGTATGGACTCTGACAAAACCACCTCTTCAGGCAGAGAATTCCATATCCTTATTGTTCTTACTATAAAAAAACCTTTTCTTTGCCTTAGATGAAATCTCCTTTCTTCCAGCCTAAATGTGTGACCTCGTGTCCTATGTATAGCCCTGTTTACGAATAGATTTCCAGATAAAGGTTTGTACTGGCCCTGAATATATTTGTATAAAGTTATATCCCCTCTCAGACGCCGTTTTTCCAAACTAAACAGATTTAATTTTTTTAACCTTTCTTCATAACTAAAATGTTCCATTCCTTTTAACAATTTTGTAGCTCGTCTCTGGACCCTCTCCAGTGCCATGATATCCTTCTTTAGAACAGGCGCCCAAAATTGCACAGCATATTCAAGGTGTGGTCTTACCAGCGATTTATAAAGAGGCAAAATTATATTTTCAGCCCGAGAATTTATGCCCCTATTTATACATGACAAAATCTTACTGGCCTTAGCAACTGCAGATTGACATTGCATATTGCTGCCTAATTTGTTGTCTATAACAATTCCCAAATCCTTCTCGTGTGTGGTTATGCCTAATTCAGTCACCTGATGCAGTGTAAAGTTGTTGTATATGACTAGTGTGAGATTATTGCTCTTAAACTATAAAATCTAGTTCAGGCTATTTGCAAAATTTCATTTATTAAAAGTGTTAAGGCGGACACGTTTAAATAATATGCCATCGGTAGTTCTTAAAACATTCCTGACATTTAGCCCCAGTCTAATGAAAGCCGAATATTTAATGGCTGTGACATCTCTCTGGGGCCAGACTGTGAATTATGCAGAATCTACGACGGATGTGCCTGAAAGTATCTTACAGAAACGGAGGTAAAGCTGTGATAATACAGAGAGCCGTGCATCATTCACCCGCCTGACCCAGAGTCCAGCTGGCACCTGTATGAGGCCATACGAACATCATTCTAATTTCCATAAGTAGGGCCTGGTAAAGGCTCCCCTCCCCCGTTTTAATTAATCAGCCAAATGATCGGGTAATTATTTCAGAGAGTAATGGGTACCCACTCATCCATTGTAAAATCAATGCCCGATCGACCAGGTCATCAGATGAGAAATTCAATTCAATGAACGCAGAGAAAATAAACACTGAACGCGTGTAACAAGAAACATTAACTCCTAATGAGAGCCTCGCCGTGTGTGTGTATATATGTATGTATATGTGTGTGTGTGTGTGTGTATATATATATATATCTCAAATGAGATTGGTCACCTCTCCATGTGACATAAATAATGTTTGAAAATTACAATAAAGTTCTTAATCCAGTTTGTCGTTAAAGACAGATTTACTTAGCAGCTGACTACAAATGCTTCTCTCAACACCTTCCTTACTGCGCTTCTATCCTGTGTGATAGCTCAGTGGTTAGTGCTCCATCTGTAGTGTCTCAGGTTTGAATCCCACAATCCTTCTGCAGTTCTTAAAGTGGGTAAAATAGCCAGGACACTGTGAATGTCCTAGTCTTGGTTTGATACTGTTGTTATTAAAGTTACACTATAGGTTCAGGAACACAAATGCATTTCTGACACTATATTGTTACACACCAACACCGAACTATCCTCTATATAACCATCATGTAAACCACCTCAAATTTTGGGAATATTTGCGAATCACACTTGGCAGGCGAAGAGGGCAGAAATCGCAACTTACCCAGCAGGGTGCGAGAAATCCCAAACTGGGAAAGTGCAGCACATGCGATAATTCTAGGGCTGTGCCATGTTTCCGGGACACAACCCTGGCTCCAATGCAAAACCCTTTCCACAAGTCCAGAAATCGAGGCTGCGCAATGCGTGGTTTGTGCACCAAGCATTAGTGCCACAACAATTTAAGGACATGCGATGCACAGCCACTGTTTCTTTACTTGTGGATGCTTCTACACAGTTTGCGCAGTTTTATGCTGCAGTTTTATTCTGCACAGTGGTTACTGTCTATTTAGTTTTTTGTACTTTTTCTGTAATTTTTACACATTCTAAATGTTTGTTTTTTCTTTTGTGTGGCCACACAGAAACCTTACCTAGTGATAGGAAAGCGGATGCAAAATGGTTTAACCCTGCACGGTTAGACTGCACTGAGGACCTCCAGACCATAATGACTTCACTGAGAGGAATTGGTTATAGTCCCCAGAGTGGCTCGTTAAAGCAGCACTGTCATTGCCACATCCGTTTTTTTGTTTGTTCGTTTTTTTTAACCCTTTTCCTGACTGGTCACTCCGAAATGCCCCTAGATTCCCCATTTCCTTATTTTTATTACCTTTTATGTCCTAGGAGCCGCCATACTAGTGTTACCTGGTTGACGTGTACCGCATGGGCTTCATCTGCCCACACTAGCTCTGACTGTGAAACTTGCTCGCATTGTGGGGATATTTATGGGATAATAATATTAAACAGTTGAGAATTGCCCACTAATTCAATTCTCAGATCCCAAAGAACGTTTATCGTGTTAAGTGGAATGTATTTCATATAAATAATATCACAATGTATAAAAATAGATTTTATTTTTATAATGACAAATTAATAATAATATTATGCAACATGCATGACAATAATCAATGAATATCCAGTATAAATTGGTATGCAATACAAAGGAATGGGTATCCACATTTCAATGGCTAACTAGCATTTTCTGTCAAGACTTCTGACGATTTATGACTATCTTTAACACAGACTGAAAGTGAAACTTTTCACAGGGAAGAACAGAATTCCTCAGAGTGCAGCGTAAGGTCGTAAAGTTTAGCTGACAGTTAGAATAACCCTTTCAATGCTGGCTAGATCTCCTAGGTAGTTAAGATCTATTCTTATGTCATTTTTAAATAAAATAACATTTAACCCAGTTCATTAGTCATTTCCTGAAAACCATCCAATAAGAGAATCTACCATATTATATAAGCAAATTTTTAATTTGTCTAAAAGATATCTATCTTAATTTAGAGCAAATCAATACACCTGGATAAAAACAGCGGTATGCTAACACGTGATAATATCACATCAATATATAATTATTCTTAATTCCACCTGCAGAATGGAATGTTTATAACTATATATTCTTAGTTAACTAAGATTTCTTAATATGGAAATCTGACCGTGCTTTATCCAGTCATATATAATGCTATTAATACATTTTAATTAATTTAATTTAATTAAATGAAACCAGTATAATTACCAGTTGAGTAGATATTTCATCCGATTGGTAGTCTCAGGAACTTATTTGGATGTCTCTCTCTGCATGGCGGTTGGAGTCCCCAAACTTCCAATTCCTCTCTCCTCTTTTTCTTTGCATATCTCTTGGATCTCCTTTTCTTCCCTTTGTCTTAACTTTTAAAGGGCCAGACTCTCTGTACATCATCAGTTGATAACCCAATAGAAGCACTAGAGGTGTGGTTATCTTCCAGATCGCAAATTAGTTATTTGGTCTATAGAGGGCAGTCTTGTCCCACTAAACATACCTATCCAGGAAAGAGTTAACTTTTCCTGGTGGCTATTTTGACGTCATTTTGCTTATCTCAAATGACCACTATAACTTACGTATCCTTCAAAGATCAAAGGGTTTCTTAAATTTTGTCCAGACTTAGCGTCTGCAATTCCTGCCATAATTTCTGATATGGCAGATCATGAACTAAGTTTACCCTTTTCCATACAATGGTACCTTATATATATATATATATATATAGACAGTTAAATATTAAATTATTTAATCTTCTCTGTCACAATTGTCTGGGTTTAGATTTGATTATATTCTTCTTATCACTTGTTTATACTATGCATTCCTTAGCTCTGGCAAAGAGGCCAGTCTTACAGAAATAATTTTTGTGTCTTTTTGTTAATTTGAAAATAACAAAATGGGGTCTGGTCTGTTCAGAGTGACTCAGAATATACACTTTTAGTTTCTATCTTAGCACAACATGTCTGCCGATATAAATACCCTGACATAACCCCCCTTTAGTGCATTTCATAGCCAAAATTAATTTAGCTTATGAATAAGCACTATAGAAGTTACCAGACATATTGTGCAATCACATCATTTCTAACATAGGCCCGTGCGTGGAATGAACATTTTTGTATATATTTGTACCTGTAAGAGTTTTGAACTTTACACTTAGTACAATCAACCATTTAGTACAATCAACCATAATATCATTATTACATAGTACATTGTTTTCATTTGAAAAATGTCTTTGGGAGTTACATATGGTATGGTCAATAAAAAGCAAATCTCCATACGTTCCGGATCAATTAAGAGAGGTATAGCGCTCCCCATCTCAAAGGCCAGATTTAATTGCATAGGCTCAATTGTCTCTCCATCCACATTGGCAAGCATCGCATGAACAATATCCTTGGAACAATATTGGGTCATGCAGAAATAGAAGTTCACGCTTAAATAAGTCATGACTTTGGTGCAACTCAGTGGATTTGGCAATTAACTCCGAATGCAAATTTGTTGTAACAACTGTGTCTTCCACAATAGTTAACACGTCTTGGAGAAGTGTTCTTTGCTGTTGTATCACCTGATGAATATCGTTAATGTGTTGCTTTAGCACATAGATTTCCATATCCAGCTTTTGGACAGTAATAGAGTTGGCTGCAGACATTCCAGTTGCGACAACTGCACCGACAGTGGCACAAACTAATGCAACAATTATAGCGGTGAGGAACCTTTTGGGTCGGTTGCTCATCGGAATAGAA